TATATATATATATATATATATATCACCCAAGATGCAAATTGCCCATTTGTAATTAAGCTACAGAAGATATAAATCATGCTTTGAGGGAGCATTGAGGTGGTAGAATAATTTAGAATATGGTTATTAAAAATCATGTATAATTTAGAATATTGTAGAAGAATATATGTGTGAAAGTTTTGTTGTTGAATATAAATATTTTTATACTAGTTGTTGCAGAAGCAGTAAATGATATATTGATAGAAGGAGAGGGCGAGGTAGGGTTTTTATTCCCGCTCCTCTCACTCAATAACAGTCTCTCTGAATGTTCCGTTGAAACCCAAACCCAAACCCTAAACTAAACCCTAAACCACCGCAATGTATCTCTACAGTCTCACTCTCCAACGCCCCACCGGCATCATATGCGCCATCAACGGCAGCTTCTCCGGCGGCAAGACGCAGGAAATCGTCGTCGCCCGCGGCAAGGTCCTCGATCTCCTCCGCCCCGACGACAACGGCAGGATCCAAACCATCCTCTCCGTCGAAATCTTCGGCGCCATCCGCTCCCTCGCCCAGTTCCGCCTCATCGGCGCTCAGAAGGACTACATCGTCGTCGGCTCCGACTCCGGCCGTATCGTCATTCTCGAGTACAACAAAGAGAAGAACGTTTTCGACAAAATTCACCAGGAAACCTTCGGCAAGTCCGGTTGCCGCCGAATTGTTCCCGGTCAGTACCTCGCCATCGATCCCAAGGGTAGGGCTGTTATGATTGGCGCTTGCGAGAAGCAGAAACTCGTTTATGTTTTGAATAGGGACACTGCTGCTAGGTTAACCATTTCTTCCCCTTTAGAGGCTCACAAATCCCACACTTTAGTTTATTCAATATGTGGTGTTGACTGTGGCTTTGAGAACCCTATTTTTGCTGCTATTGAATTGGATTACTCTGAGGCCGACCAGGATTCCACTGGCCAGGCTGCTTCCGAGGCTCAGAAGCATTTGACCTTTTACGAGCTTGATCTTGGCCTCAACCATGTTTCCAGGAAGTGGTCTGAGCAGGTTGATAATGGTGCCAATTTGCTTGTTACTGTTCCTGGAGGCACTGATGGCCCCAGTGGCGTCCTTGTCTGTGCTGAGAATTTCGTTATTTATAAGAATCAGGGACATCCGGATGTTAGGGCTGTCATTCCTCGGCGGGCTGACTTGCCGGCTGAGCGCGGCGTGCTTATTGTGTCTGCTGCCATGCATAAATTGAAGGGCATGTTCTTCTTCCTACTGCAGACTGAGTATGGAGATATTTTTAAGGTTACCTTGGAACACAATAATGACCGTGTCTCGGAGTTGAAGATCAAGTATTTTGATACCATTCCTGTCACGGCTTCAATGTGTGTGCTGAAGTCCGGATTCTTGTTTGCGGCATCGGAGTTTGGGAATCATGCTCTGTATCAGTTTAAGTCCATAGGGGAGGAAGATGATGTGGAGGCCTCGTCTGCTACGCTGATGGAAACTGAAGAAGGTTTTCAGCCTGTGTTTTTCCAGCCCAGGAGGCTGAAGAACCTTGTTAGGATAGACCAGGTTGAGAGTTTGATGCCCATAATGGATATGAAGGTCAGCAATATCTTTGAAGAGGAAACTCCCCAGATTTTTACTCTTTGTGGGCGTGGTCCTCGGTCCTCTTTGAGGATTCTGAGAACGGGTTTGGCAGTTAGTGAGATGGCTGTATCCAAGCTTCCTGGTATACCTAGTGCTGTTTGGACAGTGAAGAAGAATGTTATTGATGAGTTTGATGCGTACATTGTTGTGTCATTCACAAATGCTACGCTTGTGCTTTCCATTGGTGAAACTGTTGAAGAAGTTAGTGACAGTGGGTTTCTTGACACTACTCCTTCCCTTGCTGTTTCTTTGATAGGAGATGATTCTCTCATGCAGGTTCACCCAAATGGTATTAGGCATATTAGGGAGGATGGTCGTATTAATGAATGGAGAACTCCTGGAAAGAGGACAATTTCAAAAGTTGGATCGAATAGACTTCAAGTGGTTATTGCACTGAGTGGAGGGGAGCTTATATATTTTGAAGTGGATGTAACTGGTCAATTGATGGAGGTAGAGAAGCATGAAATGTCTGGAGATGTTGCTTGTTTGGACATTGCTCCAGTACCTGAGGGAAGACAAAGATCTCGATTTCTTGCAGTTGGTTCATATGACAAGACCATCCGAATCTTATCACTGGATCCTGATGATTGTATGCAGGCTCTAAGTGTACAAAGTGTTTCTTCAGCCCCGGAGTCTCTTCTTTTTCTAGAAGTTCTGGCATCTGTTGGTGGCGAGGATGGTGCAGATCATCCTGCCAGCCTTTTCTTGAATGCTGGTTTACAGAATGGTGTCTTGTTTAGAACTGTGGTGGATATGGTTACAGGTCAGCTTTCTGATTCTCGATCCCGATTCTTAGGATTGAGAGCCCCAAAGTTGTTTCCCATTATTGTGAGAGGCAAGCGTGCTATGCTTTGCTTGTCTAGTCGACCTTGGCTTGGTTATATTCACCAAGGACATTTCCTTTTAACACCCCTTTCATATGAAACCCTTGAATATGCTGCCTCATTTTCATCTGACCAGTGTGTCGAAGGTGTAGTTGCTGTTGCTGGTGAGGCCTTGAGGATTTTTACCATTGAAAGGTTAGGAGAAACATTTAATGAAACTGTAATTCCATTAAGGTACACACCTAGGAAATTTGTGCTGCAACCAAAACGGAAACTTCTGGTGATGATTGAGGGTGATCAGGGAGCATTAAATGCGGAAGAGCATGAAGC